AGAAGAAGAAGAAGAAGAAGAAGAAGAAGAAGAAGAAGAAGAAGAAGAAGAAGAAGAAGAAGAAGAAGAAGAAGAAGAAGAAGAAGAAGAAGAAGAAGAAGAAGAAGAAGAAGAAGAAGAAGAAGAAGAAGAAGAAGAAGAAGAAGAAGAAGAAGAAGAAGAAGAAGAAGAGGAGAGCCCCAGTTTGTGGGACTAGTATTTCTAACATCATGTTCATGAGCACAGGTTCTCCTCAGAGCTGTGTCCTAAGTCCACATGGGTCCCTGTTGACCCATGATTGTTGTGCAATGTTTGCTACCTACCATATTGTGAAGTATGTGGATGATACAACAATAGTGGGCCTTATCCAGGATGACAATGAGGGTGCTTACAGGGAGGGGGTAGAGGGTTAGAAGGACTGGTGTAATAAAAACAGCTGGGTTCTAAATGTAGGAAAAACAAAAGAGATCATTGTCAATCTCAGAAAAAGCAAGCACAGCCACACGCCTCTGTGTATTCGTGATTCACCTGTGGAGGTGATTAGCAGCATCAAGCTTCAGGGGACACTGCTAAGGAGCAGACTAGCTTGGTCGCTCAACCGGGAGACCCTGGGGAAGCGGGCACAGCAGCGCCTGCATTTTCTGCGTCCTATGAGAAGAGCACATCTTCCTTCCGCTGTCCTCACCACGTTCTACAGAGGGACGATCGGGAGCATCCTGTCATATTGTATTACTGTCTGGTTTGAAAGTATTACTGTTTTTGGACAGGAAGGCTGTGCAGAGAGTGGCGAGGACAGCAGAAAAGATTATTGGGAGTTCACTTCCTTCTATCCAGGACACGGCATGTAAGAAATGCTGGACCAGGATTCGGAGTATCATCTGGGACGCTAGGCGTCCTCTCCATGACCGGTTTTCTTTGTTACCTTCTGGGAGGGGGCTTCATGGTATCTGAAGCAGAACAACTATTCTGTAACAGCTTTGTACCATATAGCATCAACCTTGTTAACTCTTATTTCAAGACTTTTTTTTCTGCTATGTATTCAAAATGGACTGCGATTAAAATATATATGGAGATATATACATACATACATATACATAAAACATATTCTTTTTTGAATATTTATCTATCTATTCTGGGTAGCAGAATTTCATTTTAATGTAGGCCTTTATATTCAAAGAAAAGTGACAATAATTATAATTAATGATTTGTAAGTTGTGTTTAACTGGTTTTACATTTTTTAATTTGCAACTATTTTTTATCAGAAGAGCCTAAAGAGTGCTATTTTAAACTTTAGTTCCACCCAATCCTTTATCAGCTCAGAGTGGATTAGAACAGGCACAGCCACATGGATGGTCATGCAATTTTTCCCCACTGGCTGGGCATGTAATTTTTCCCCATGTGCTAGCTTCTTAAAAATCCCACATAAATTCAACATGAAGTTCTTTAAAGGCTTCAAAAGCACACATGGTTTTCCATGCTTAGAGAGCTATCAGCAATTGTGATTCTGATAAAGCATCAAACTGAGCTCAGAATGAAAATAAGGGAGGATGAATGAGCTGCCAAGCTTTAAAAGATTAACTTCATTTTACGTAAGATACCCAAGATCAAGAACAAAGAGACCAAAAAAGAAAAAAAAAAGAGGAGAAAAATAGAGGTTCAAGTTACTGGCATAAAAGACATAATTAATACTTTTAAAAATAAGAGCAAGAGATAGGAGAAGAGAGATAACGGATGAACCCCATTGGAAAGAAAAACTGAAGTTAATAAATATGAAACCAGGATACCGATTCTCTGAATGAAAAATTTATGGAACAAATAAGACCAGCCCCACCCCTCCAAAAGTCTATCAGCTGGGTGGGCTGGATTCAAAAGACCCTGACAGTGCAGATCAGGGGTCCCCAACTCCCGGGCCGTGGACCAATACTGGTCCGTGGCATGCCAGCAACTGGTCCACACAAACAAGCAAAGCCCCATCTGCGGGATGCAGGCAGCACACAAAACCACGCACCCCTCCGGTCCACGGAAAAACCTCTCTCCACGGAACTGGTCCCTGGTGCCCAAAAGGTTGGGGGCCTCTGGTGTAGATCTTTCCCCAGGGTTTGGGTTAGAATGTTTTTCACTGTTTTTCACGAATTGCCTTTCTTCCAGACCTTTGGTTTTGAATTGTATTTTAAGATTATTTGTATAGTATTGTAGGTAGGGAGTGCAACTATGGCACCAATTGTTTTATATTGTCCGGTAACATGACGACTGCAATATTCATACATGTTAGTGAATGAACAGGTGATGGCAAAGACGTTCAGGTGGGAGAGTCGATACAGGTAGGCAGAGTGCTGGAGAAGGAAAGAGGGTATCCATCCTGAAGAGGGAAGCAGGGGCAAACACAGACTGTGAAGGATAATTCAGACCTTTCCATGTCAATGAAGACCAACATTGCCAAAGCCGTTGCTTTTCCAGCGGTCGTGCCCAGTTGTGAAAAGTGCACACCGAGAAGCAATGGATCCATCGTCCTGCATCATATAGACACCGGCTGCTCCCTTGCATGTGCAAGAGCTCGTCTCAGTTTGGGCAGGTGAGGCAAAAGGTTAAAGAATAATAAGAATTATTACGCTTGGACCAGTTGAAGGAAATGGAAGACAATAACCAAAATGGATGAATGGGGTAAAGAAAAAAAAACAAAAATGTCCTTGAAAAATTAACCAGTTATTATTCAAAAGAAGTCCAGGATGGTGTGTAGAAGATGCTAGACTAACGCTGGAGACCTCCAGGTCTTCTTTTACCTTCAGTCCCATAAACCACTCGGTAATTTTGGGTCAGACCCTCTTTTTCTCATCCCACAGAACTGTTGTTACTGTGAGAAAATATGAAGAGAGGAAGCACTATGGATGCTGTCTGATACGCCATACAAACAGCGGAATGTAAGTTACTACTACAACATTTCTGTATAACTAACTTTTATTTCTACAACAAATGCTAGCACCTGTAGTGTAATAACACAAGTGATAGAAAATCCTAAATCCTTCCTTTTTTTGTAATACATGCTGTATTTTCAAATAGTAGTTTAAATAAGCTGTGATACTAAGGAATCTGCTAAAGTACGTTCAGGACCTTATAAGGAGCACTTCGGAAGGCAAAGCGATCCCAGATCTCATTCAGAATTTGCGGGCACCACCAGTCAATGCCCACAAACTCTCATGGCTAACCAATAAATCCAAATGCTGGCTTGGCCCAAGCTTTTGCAGACGTTCCGAAGATCAAAGGAGCCAGGACGATCGTTTGATCTTGGGGAGAGAAGCAGGCAGCTAAGCCAGAAGGATTTTGAGCCATGAAATTTCACTCTCGGATAAAGTTCCCAAGCGGTCAGCATCAGAAGTGTGAATGCAACATTGACTTTCTCCCTCTCTCTTTTTATTAATTTAAGCATTACTACTTCAATAAATGAATAAATATTCTTATACCCCTAACACTCCCTGTTCCGTTTTCAGAAGCCTGCTGGAACACCACCCACTTTCATCCTATCTGCTCACTATTAATGTGCATTTGGGAACGTATTTAAAATAATCAAACTATGTAAAATTACACTTGCTGAACAAATTAAAAACCTTGTGACTGGACCCCTAGCATGAATAACTAAATGTGGTGCTCACAGTCCACATTTGTGGCAGAAAACTCCAAATTTGGGGATGACCCGTATTTTGGCTTTGGTTGTGAACTACACCGTGTCGGGCAAGGATGCCGAAGGGTTAGACTGGGGGGGGGGGGGACAATACACCCTGCAGGTGGGAGGCAGTCACAGGGCGAGGGCAGGTTTCAGTTAATGAGTCAGGGAGCCCTGCTGGATTGAGCAGTCAATTTGAGGGGAATGGAGGAAAGTCACATATCCTGCCAAGAAACGGAATAAGAAAACCTCCATTCCATCAGTGGCAACAACTGGCAACCCACACAAAACACCACAGAGAGGCCCAATAATAATTTCCATTAAGCACGTCTCCATGCACCGCTGCTTTACTCCAGTGCATACTTATCCACAGCAACCAAAAATAGCAAATTTGACTGATAATAAAGAGATTCAGAATCCCATTAAAGTCCACAGCTGGAAACAAGCTTCATAGTGCAGAAAACAGAAAGAGGTGATCTAGAATAGGTAGACCAATTGATCATATATCAACATTTCGAAAGAGAAAAATGTATTATTTATTCTTAGATTTCTTAATACCAGTCGTCCCAATTTAAAATACATATTATTATTATTATTATTTTAAAAAGAACAGATCTTCCCGGCCTGAATCTGAGGCCCCATCGCTTGCTCAGTCCACCGTATCTGAACTGTGCAAGCAGAAATGGCGCCACATAATCAGCCAATTCTTTTTGCACTTATAGGCTCCTCAGCAGTGACTCTCTTTCGGTTTCATTAGGTTGGATGGGGAATCCTCAAATCCACCTGTTTTATTTGGGAAAAGGAGAATAAGCATTAAAATATTTTTAAGCTATCCAAGAACATGAGATTTTAATACATCTTGGAACCGCTAGGCACTTGAAAAACTCCTTAAACATTCTATTTAAAAATTCCTCTCTATGCAGCTAAGCACTGAAAAAGAAAACAAAACAAGTACTCCAACAAAAAGCGCACTAACGGCTGTTTGATTCAACCTGGCAGGCTTACCTGGTCCCTTTCGTGAGGCAGGAGGCTGACGGGCGGCAGGGAGGCAGGAAATGAGCTGTATTTATAGGCCCCTCGGCCTTCCACGCCACCTTGGCTCAGCCTGTACTGAGGTCCTTCTTTCAATAATCTCCCACTATTGACCGCCCGCTTGGCCCCCAGGCGTAATCTCCGCTGAAAGACCGGGTTGTTGAAGATCCCTGCCAGGTCATGTTGACTTCTCAGGTACTTCTCTATGTTTCTGAGGGAAGATCCATTTGGATCCTGAAGCCCTTCAATGGCTCTCCGCAGAAGTTTATTCCAATCCACGTTTCGAAGCTCGCCACAGGCTCCCTTAGATCCTTTGGAGGGTTTGGGAATCTCGTCCAGCTTAAGAGATGAAAAGCGCCCGGGGTTATCTGGGTCCTTGTAGGACGCAAGGCCTTTGTTGGTAACTTTGAGAACAGAGCCATCCTGGACGCTCAGCTCCAACTGCTCGGAAACGGTCTTCTTATCCAAGCCGTGGGATCCGCAAACGGCATGGCAGATCCTCTCTTCCGAGGGCCTCTGCTTCTGCCTTTTGACTTTGTGTATGGCTTCAAGAATCCACTCTGTGTAAAGTGGATTCGCAAGTTTTACCATGGCTGACCAATAACCTTCCACCCACAAGAGTTACCCATAGAGTTCCTTTCTCTTCCTGTCAACGATCCGTCTCCTACGTATTCACAGCGCAACGAGTTTTACCTTCCGGAATCACCATCTCAAGAAGCCGTCCCTTAGATGCAAAGACTGTGAGGACTATCAGGCATGATCTTCTAAGCAAACCCTTCATCAGCCAAAGTAGTAGGGAAATGGAGTCATTTTCTTACGCCAGATGGAACCCATCTCTACACCCGGATGGCTTTTCTCTCCGGCCAGTACAAATCTTCCCCGGTCTTCATAAATCCTAAAGAAGGTTTTTAGAAAGCAAGTTAATTTCATCCTCATCATTTAGGAATGTAAATATATACCACTTTATTTAAAAAGCTACACCTTACTGACCAATGCCTTAGTTATTAACTAATATTTAGAAGCACCGGTTGGACTGGGGGGGGGAGTTTATGTGCTTCTTAGAATTAAACTCCAAAATTCATATTAGATGACAGTTTGAGTCTTTCAGAAGACAGAATATCAGCCAATGTTATGTCTGCCACATTTCAAACCCCAAGTTGAAACAAGGCATACAGTAATTGTATACATAAAAGTACCACTTTCTCAACATCCCCAAATCTAGTAATTTATTGATTCCCACCATGTTCTAAGCACTCTGCCTCTCCAGTCTTACTGGGCATGGAGACGTCATGAGGCTGGAACATTCTAGACTTCTCCATGTCACCAGCTCCCTCCAAAAGCAAAATCTCCTTGCCTAAAGGTTGTGAATGATTAATACAATTACTCAACTCTTCATCACTTATGTCATAGTATTGCTTCAAATGGAGAGAGAGAGAGAGAGAGAGAGAGAGAGAGAGAGAGAGAGAGATTGAAGGTTGCAACCGTCATAAATATGAACCAGATATCAAACAGATGAATTTTGATCACGTGACCAGGGGGATGCTGCAACGTTTTTCAGCACCGTTGTAACTTTGAACAGTCATTAAACAAATGGCTGTAAGTTGAGGACTACCACTACCACAAAAGATAAGCTGCATTTCAATATGGACACCTGACTGAATCCTTCTTACGTGAAGCTTCCTTAGGCTGCAAAGTGTGACTCAAATCTTTGTTGAAGAAATCTTCTGAGATGGCTGGTGAAAAGTTGGAGCAGGAAGAAAGGAACATCCTTCTCTAAGAAGGGGGGGGGGGGGAAAAAAGCCCGGCTCCATCAGGCAAAAAGGCTTCGTAGAGTCGGGCGCTCTGTTCCCCAGGGCCTACGCCTGTTCAGGGGATGTAGGAGCCACGTCATGCTCCCACCAGGATTCTCCAGCAAGAGAAATCGAGGGGTGTAGCGTTTCTCTTCTGGAGATAATGTGGATAATACGATTATGTCCTCCATTAATTTATTAAATCATCTTTTAATGCTCTATAAATCATGCAACTTATAGTAGAACGTTCTGTAATTTAATACGTGCCGTGAAAAGAAATAATTACTTTTCCGAGGGTGCAGTAAGAAGTTCTTCCTATCCACTTTCTCTTTTCTTGGCATGACTTCATAAGAATAAGGACTGCATTAGATACGCACCATCCACGCCCACACGTCTTTCACTGGCATCGATTATTTCATATGACTGTAGGGAAAATCATAACCATTATTTGCACCTATATCCACTGTAGTAATAGTTTTTGTTTAAAACAATACACTCCAATTTTAAAACATTTTGTTTTAAATTTTGCATTCCACCTCCTTATGCACGTAATAAAAGGACACATACAGCAGATTCTTGTTAGATCAGTGGTGTGTTGTTTGAACCTTGCCCCCAAACTATCCCAAAGTATTTCTTTACATCTCAAAGAAGAGGAAAAATGTTTGCCAATGATCTGCTGTACATACAGTAGCAATAGCTTCAACTAATAAATTGCAAGTATTTGGACACTTTAGTAGAACTTGTATACCATTTCCAGTGAAAAGTTTCCCAATTAAATTATTTTATTATTAATAATTAAATTTATTTACCGCCCATTTCACCACCAGGCGACTACAACATTAATTCACACTTCCAACAGCCGATCCTGGACTCTTCGATCTCACTGGGCTAGATTCACATACAAACCACTGTTTGCTTAATCTCAAGTTGTTGCCTAAACCACATCAGCAGAACTGATGCATTATGCTAAATCACAGAACATGCTAAAACGCAAGCCACAAAGCTGTGGCTTTCACAATATTGTTGTATTTCTTATACACTGAGCAGATTCGCTTCTCGTGAAATAAGTCAGTTATATAAATTTGATTAATAAATGAATATGAGATGGGCTTAGCTTATTCTGTTATTCTGTCATTCTGATGATGTGCTTAAGCACCACCGTGTGCTTAAGTCTGGTCTATGAATAAATCACAATTGACTGGACTGAAAACAATATTAAGGAGAACTCTTAAAGCCACAAAAAGCTTATCCTATAGTTATCACAGTCCTCAGCAATGCACTGAAAGGCTGGGGGAAGCTTTCAGCTCCAACAAAATGCAGATAGTCCTCATTTAGCAAACAAAAATGGGAGTAGCATCTTAGTCATTAAGCAAAGCAGTCGCTAAGTCAACTGTGCTTAAATTTACTCCAGCTTTCCCTTGCTTTACAGACCTGTAAAGGTCATAAAGGCAAGGGTTGCTCGCAAAATTCCTATTTCATCACTGTTGTAACTGTGAACGGTCACCATACGAAGCAGTCACCAAATGAGAAGTATCTGTAAGTGCTCCACGATCCTAAGTTGCAATTCAGTTCCAGAAGACTCTCTAGAGAGGCAGAGATGTCGGTGGAAGGGCCCCAATATTTTCTGCTCACATTTAATGGATGAGAAAATAAGCTAGAAAGAGGGGAACATATTCATGAACTCAAGAGTGGGCCTCAACTTGAAGACTACGGTATCTTGTTTTTAATTTTTGACGTTTTTTTCAGAGGACATCTGATCGCCCACTTTGCACTCATTTCGCAGATGGTTCAAGCGCTCCTAGACTGGGACGAGGCACCTCCTTGGAGCCAGAAGACCCGAGGCTCAAACCTTCTATTTTGAATTTTTATTAATCCAGCAATTGCACCAAGGCAAACTCTGTTTACGCTAGAAAGTCTAAACAGGAAAGATTTAGACCTTGGGCAGGAGACCACCAGGAGATCACAGAAACAAACCTCTTCCGTATGGCGGCCAAGAAAAGACCTGGCGGGAGTAACAGGAGTCAGCTTCTTTTGAGGAAGAGCGACTCAGCATTTTGCCCACCTCGAAAAGCTAAGCTGGCACAGACCAGGCAAGCCTTCAGCTAGGAGGTCGCCATGAAATGCCAATTCATATATAGGAGGTTGCAAAAAATAAAATAAAAATAAAATTGTGGAAGAGGTCAATGGTAATCCACTTATATTGCAGCCAGGAGGGCTCTTCCAATTTTTAGCTTTTAGAATAGAATAGAATAGAATAGAATAGAATAACAGAGTTGGAAGGGACCTGGGAGGTCTTCTAGTCCAACCTCCTGCTTAGGCAGGAAACCCAGGCCTAGACCATTTCAGACAAACGGTTGTCCAATCTCTTTTTTAAAAAGATTAAAATTACAGTAAACTCAGACGGCCCTCAGAGACCTCTGAAGCAACCTTGACAGCTCTAAGACGGGTGGACTTCAACTCCCAGAATTCTCCAGCTAGCCAAGCTGCCTGGGGAATTCTGGGAGTTGAAATCCACCAAAGTAACTGCCAAGATGCAGCGCCACACCCGGCACTGCAGATGACGGGAGAGCCACGCTCTCCGGAGCAAGCGCTGGGCGCGGGCTCCCGCCAAGAGGCTTCAACTGCGGGAGGCGCTCGCGGCTCATTCCCCTCAGACAGCAGCAGCAGCAGCAGCAGCAGCAGCAGGGGCGCCAGGTAGCGCGCGACCCAGCCCACCTCGCCAGCCAACGCCGCCATTTTCTTTCTTCCTCTTTGGACGCGACATTGGACGAAAGCCCAATCAGGGCGCTTTCATCCCGCCTCTCAATTAGGAAAGCCACAGCGATAGGCCAAGCGACCCGTCCGTCCCCTCGCCGCCAGCCACTCCGTTCTTCCACACGCATACCAGGGCCAGACTATAGGAGGGCGGGAGACGTCAATTACACTCCTCCCCACCCTCTCCTGGCAAAGCCGTGACAGCCCAGCGTCACCGTCGTCGACCCTCATTGGTCGGCGATTACATCTGGACAACAATAGAAGGGGAAGGGACGAGCCTCGCCTCCGGATAGGCTCCCGAAGTGTCAATCGAGCACTACCCCCCCACCCTTTCTCTCTCTCCCCCCTTTCCTCGCCCTCCCGCCGAGGAAGTTTGTTCGCGAGCGCAGAGGCGGGCGCGCGACACACACTAATAAGCGGCCCCGAAGTCTCTGAGTTTCACGCCACGTGCCGGGGCGCTCTCCCCACCCCGTCCGGTCGGGCGAGATCGGCGAGGAGCGTCTCCCGGGCCGGCTCGGCCCCTTTGCGGGAGGCCGGAGGGGAGGGCAGGGCAGGGCAGGAGAGGGGAGGG